TGGGCAACTTGACTTTTAATATATTTGATAATTTCCAATTTTTATTACATTTGACTTGAAATTTTTGATAGGGATAACAATAAAAAAATTAAATGCCATAATTTTAGTGCATCAGTTAAAATTATCCAAAATTGTTAATTTTACAGGCTGAAGTGTTTTTACTTATTTACCTAGTCTTTTGGAAAAAAATTTCGGGTTATATTATAAAAACTCCACGCAAATATGCATAAAGGATCGTGGAATCCAATGAATTCATCTGTTTAAAACTATTGCTTAATTTACAAACCGATTAGTAAATCACTTCGTACGGGCATTGAAATCTGTCTAAATCATTCAGAATTACCTATTTAACAGATAGAAGATTCTTTAATAAAGCAAAAATTTAAATTTAAATGAAAATAACTTACAGCAACAGAACTTCCTGAAATTTTGAGTACTTACAAAAGTAATAGCAGGTGTAACAGCAGAAACTCTACCTAAAATTGTAATAAAATTATTATTAAAAACAATACATCTAAATAGATACAATAACACATCAAATAACATTAGATACACAATAATTAAAAAAATATATTTGTTAATTCATTTTAAAAGTTAAAAATTAAAAAAAGTTATAAATTAACAATTAAAACTAAATAAATATAAAATAAGAAACTTACTCTCTGAGATTTGTGAACTATTGACAACACCTAAGATGAAAAAATGAAAACAACATTAAAACAAAAAATTTGTTATTCTAAAACTTGTCTCTTGGCTTTTAGTGAATGATTAGAAGTAGTTTCTGTAACGAAACAACCTAATAATCATTTTTAACGATAGACACCAGCGAGAAGGTAAGCCAAGTTGTCTATCAACACAAAACATCACAACAATAACATCACAATCACAAAACACACAGACCCCGTGGTACTAAACGCTTTCAAACTTACGCTAGTGTCAATAATTAACTAACAAGGTTAACTTCTATCCTTCAAGTTTTAATACTTGGCCCTTTACTCTTTATAATTTACATTAACGATCATCTAGATACTCCCACATCTATGGTAGCATTGTTCCCTGACGACACTACCATTTATTATTGTCGTGATAAGAAGCCAACATTCTCTGATTGGTTGGAGGGAGCATCTCACTTCTGCTACAGCATGGAGCTCACAGTGGCCGGTGAACTTTAATTCAGATAAAACTCAATTTTTTCAGCCAATCATTATTGTAATAATTTAGATCTTCCTATATTTATGAATACTTTTACTTAAAAGGTTGTAATATACAGTGCGAATTTCATTGTTATATCTACCTCCTTGAAAAACATCAATTACATTTTTTTTAAATATGTCAACTCTTTCCTTCAGCTCTTCTGTAAGATTTTTGAAGTAATTTCAAACTCTCTTTTAAGAATGAATCATTCGTTTCATCAGATGTTTTCAAAACAGTGTTTTCATTTTTTTTTCTTTAAATACCATCCCTTTTGTCGATCTGATTGTGAACGCTTTCTAGCCCAATTAATTTCTTTTTCCAATCTTAAATTTATTATTAACAATTGGCTAATCCTACAATTCTTTCTAACGTCTCTTTTGTTGACGTTTCTGAAATTATAATTTGACAAGATTGCTTGATACTTTCGTTATATTCATTGCATCTTTTATCAACTTGTCTGTTTTGCAATTTAATGTGATTAATTCTCCGTTTGTATCTTTTTATTTGATAGATCAAATCACCAGATAATAAAGGTAGTTATTTTATCTGAATTCGAAACTGGAAGATTCTCTTCACTAACACGCGTTTCAGTAAGAAAATTTTCAGATCTACTTCTTAAAGGGATGTATACAATAGAAGTTGGGGTAACAAGGCACGACAATTCATCATTAGTAATTTGCAAGTTTAAATCAGAAGATACAAAAACAGTAACTTAATTTGGAACAATTTCACTATTGTAGATAGAAGTAAGGTTAGAACAAGCATCAGAATGTAACAAATCAACAACATCAGAAAAAGCACCATTAAAAGATAAAGCAGAGTTTAAAAAGTGTTTTTTCAAGTCCAAATTTTTGGCTCGATTTAGTTTTACAATGTAATCTTTGAACTTTTTCAAGCTCCTTATAAGCATCACTCTAGAGATATTATACTTACAGTAGGTTGTAAAAAATAATGAAAGATTTTTTAATGTTATGTTATGTTTATTTTTGTCTTTGCAAATTTGTAGAAAATGGCTATTGGTTAACATAAAATCAGAATATTTGAAAGAAATAATGCCATCATTTATATCCAGAAAATCAAAAATACTCTTGCAGGTTGCTGTTTCTAACAACACTTTGGTAGCTAAAATTAATATTAAATTTAATTTGAGTGATTACAACAAATCGTTTGTTAATCAAAGAGTTGAAGTTTGATGATGTACCCCTTATCTAGCTTTGTGAAAAGAAAATAAAGGTCATCAAACTTAAGTTTCTATAAATAAAGTTATTGAAATATAAAATGTTTGTGATACATTTTAACAGATTTAAAAATTTAAAAATTTTATCAAAGTATGACTTACATTCTTGACTTATAGATTGAACCACCATTTTACGTAGATTGTTAAGTTCACAGCCTAAAAGAAGGGAATTTGAATTTTATTAGAGTTCATTAACCAATGAATTTTACTTAACCAATAGAAAAAATATAAAAAAAAAAAAAAAAAAAATGATAACATTCTTACACATTTCCATTTTGTAAACTTTAGACTAAAAGTTTAGTTGATTACTTATCCTTTTTGTTTAAAAAAAAACAGTTTAGAGAATCTATAGACTAGAAACAGTAGTAGAAATAGTAAGAATCAAGCCTGTAGTTGAGCAATCCAGACAAAATACCTTTAAAAATATAAAATCTTTATTTTTATTGCCTTGAAAACTTAGGTCATTAACGAAGAAATATACTTTCACTTTCAATTTTATTTGTAGTTAAAATTTCGGAATTGCAAAATCAAAACAAAAAACGTCATAAAATACGCGTAGAAATATAGATATGTATATTTATAATTTTTACATACAAATTCGAAGCACCTATTCTTTTAGAAAACATAAATAAATACTTGTTTTAAAAATAGGAAAGGCTAAATTTGCCATTTCCACTTGAATACTTTCAAAAAACACTTTTTTTTCGATAATAATTAACCTTGATGTTTTTAAACACTGAGAACTAAAAATTTTTGTATAAATGTTAAAAAGTGTTCACATTAGATTCCTCAACTTTTTTTTTTAATATATACGGAAAGTTTTATAAAAATTGGTTGTGTTTAGGTACTTCGGAATCCCTCCAAAAGCTTTGTTTTAAAAAAACGTTCCCGCTTCAAGATTTTTTCTCAAAAGTGGTCTCAAGAATGGATAATATTTAAATGAAGCCATATAAAACATGAAGCCATATAAAGCTAAAGTACTTTTCATATATGGCTGGAAAGAAGTTGAGTAGCACTAATTGATGCAAAAAACCTTTGGTTGCTTGCTTTCCTATACAAAAAGATATAAGAGAGTAAAGTTTATGAAAATTCGGTGTTTTTCGTCAAACGTCAAATGTTTTTTGCTGAGCCGTGGAATCGCTACTAGTGATGGGGTGACTTGGGACAGGAGACTTGGGGTGAAATGGGACACTGTTCAATTTTATCAGTTGTTTAATTTGTTATATTTTAATTTTTTCAATCAATTATTTTTGTAAAAAAACAAGTTAGCAGAAAATAATGTTTATGTTTATGACAAGATTTTCATGTTTACTTTATGTTAATGTTTTTTATCTTAAAAAAAATAGTTATATAGGATTTCTTTGAAACTTTAGTAGAACAACTAGTTTCAATCGTACCAATGTAGATACTTTCTTCGAAAACCTTGACAGTGTACAGAAGCGCTATAAGTTTTCTGCTGATTGCATTTATAATATTGATGAAACAGCTCTTACAACTGTTCATAAGCCAGTGAAGGTAGTTGCGGGTAAAGGAGTAAAGCAAGTAGGACACATAACTTCTGCTGAAAGGGGAACCCTAGTTACAATGGTAGGTTGTACAAATGCTCTTGGAAATTCTGTTCTCCACTTTCGTAGCCACATGCTTAAAGGTGCACTAACAGGTACCAAAGGTGATGCTAATCCTAGTGAATGAATAAATACAAAAATATTTTTGAAATAGTTTGATCATTTTGTGCAGTATGAACATTCTAGCCAGCACCACCCATTACTTTTAGTAATGGACAACCACAAAAGTCACATACCGATTGAATTGATGGATAAAGCTAAGGAAAGTAATGTTGTGCTCTTGACATTGCTACCCCATTGCAGCCACAAACTCTAAGTTTTTGGCTGCAAAAAGTCATCAGTATTTGGTATCAGAAATTTTACAATTCAGCATGTGATTCATGGTTAAAGGCACATCCAAATACTCCTATGACGATATATGACATTTCTGAAAATTTAGGAATAGCTTATGCGAGAGCCTTTACTTCCCAAAACATTCAAAATGGTTTTAAGGCAGCTGACATTTTCCCGTTCAATTCATATGTCTTCAGTAATGTAGACTTTTTATGTTCGTATGTATCTGATCAATCAATTCCAGCAAATATCTCTACCTTATCAGCCAGTTTATCCAGCAGTATTTCTCAACCGGTTCAAAAAATGATTTCTGTCACTATATCTAATGTATACGATCAGACAGAATGTGCAACTAAGGCTTACAATTTAAGTAAATTATCTGATTTGCAAACACAAACAATTCATACACCACTATCTATTGTATCTGAAGTTATTAATGACAAGAAACGGCGAATAAGCACTTCTGCCTGCCATTGGATAACAGAAGATATATCCCATATCCAAAAGCGGGAGAGAGGGCGACAAAGAGAAAAAGTGCAAAAAGAAAATGTTCTAGGTCTCTGGTATTGACTGACACACCAACAAGAAATGATCTAGTTTTATGTTTATTAGAATGTAAAAATAAATAGAGATAAAAATAAGAAAAAGCAAAAAAGTTAGCCCTTGAGACATCAACGCAGTATTGACTCTATGTAAACATCAAGCGACCTTGTTGAACAAAGCTATAAATGCATTTAGAATATCTTATTTTAATTTAACAAAGATAAATGTTGTGTATTGTTATGATATATAAGAAGTAGAATAGACAGAATAAAATAATGCTCAAAATTATTTGTTTCTGACATGTCCCATTTCACCCCAATCATTATTCCATTTCACCCCAACATGTGGTGACATGGGACAAACAGTTTCACATGATGATGGTTAAGTAATGGGTTTTTAAATAATTTCTCATCAAAACTCATTAGACTATAGTTTTAACCCAATTTTAAAGCGCGGCACACAAACAAATTTCTTTGTCCCATCTCACCACGTTCTCCCCAATATTATACAGGTGAGGTATTATTACAAGAAGTGAGACAATCGATCCTTGTCTCACTCCTTGTGTTAGATAAAATGGATATTATTTGCATCCTAGATAAGTGACAGAAGCACTGCTTTCATGGTACAATGACGATATAGTATTAATAATATAAAGCGGTAATTTTTTTATTGACGTATAGTTTCTCAAATAGAATGTCTCAGCCACAGCTGTCTAACGCTTTTTCAGCTAGGGAACAGAGATAGACAGGTGAGTTGTTGTTGTAATGTTTTATCGTTTTACTTATAACAAGTTCAGCATGTAATTAACATCTTTGCAATACTTTTTCAGTTTTTTAAAATTGGCGGGGGATGGGGCGGATTAAAGGTGAGGATTTTGAATTATTTTTAAGTTGTAAAGTGTAGTTTTATTTTTTTTTCAAACATCTTTGAGCGTAAATATGTGTTTTAGAAAAAAAAAAAAAAAAGGGCCAAACAATTATGTAAGTTGGACATAGATGTTTGGCCCTTTGTTTTAGCTTCATAAAAGTAATAATATGCTTTATACTAATATGACAAATGAATTAAAAAAGTTTCTGTTTGGTTTAAGCAAAATATGCTGTCTCTAAGTATAAACAAAACTAAATGGACACTTTTTTATCCACACTCAATGTGTGTATAAAAAAGTACCCATCGAAAAAGTAGAAACTGCCCCATATAAAGCCAGATATTTTAATTGATAATATGATAATTAATGTATATCAGAAACACGCAGCTCGTGCAATAAATTTTAAAATACAATTTTTCATACGAAAACTTTTTAAAAAAATTAATGTTTTAAATGTATATTGACTTAATGTCTTTAAGATTTTATGGTTCGTGTTTAAATGTAGAGAAAATTTGTTGCCAAATGTATCAAAAAATTTTTATTTGTATGAAACCTAAAAACAAATATAATCTTCGAATTAATAACAATTTTATTGCCCATTTTGCCATTAAAGGAAAAACTAGTTTTTTATTTTTTACGGAGGATCTTATCTCTGGAACAAAACAGTCTTACCAAAATTTGATTTTTCTACAAAACTGACTTTCAAACAGAAACTTAAAAAAATTAAATTTTTAATTAAAAATTTATTGACTTTTTTAAAATTATTTTTATTTTATTTATTTTTTGTTGTTTTGCATATTACTTGGTTTAACATTTTTCTTATTATTTTAACATTTTATCTTTTTTTAATATTTTTGCATAAAAGTGTGTTTTTAGTTCAATACAGGCAAAAAACCAAAAAGTTTTTGTATTTTTATTAAAAATTAACCATATATTGTAAAGGGCTTCATAACAAGATCCTCATGATCTTCTAGAAGTCCTGTCGTTACAAATGTAAAAGTTGTAAAATATATTTGGTTATTGTAACATTTTTAAACGGCAAAATATATATTAAAAATAATAAAAAATTATTTTTCGTTTGCAGTTAGGATCCAATCAAAAGGTGAGAATGGAAACTTTCTTATGATCTTAAACTAATTGCTCGCCACAACAAAACGTTACAAGATCATATGCATCAAACAAGTTACTTATCCTGGCAATCACAGAATGAATTTATTGAGAGGGGCGGCAAATCGTTCGAGAAGTTATTCAAGAAATTAAAAAATCAATATATTTCACTATCGTCACGGAAAGTACTCCCTATTCGTTCCGCAACGAGCAAATCATTTTTGTTCTTCGTTTTTTGCATTTCAACGATAATCAGCTGTGAGAGGTTAAAGAAAGTTTTCTTAAGCTAGAAGGACTTGAACAGACAAAGGGATCTGATATAACAAATTTGATATTCAATGTGTTGGAAGATAATGAACTTGAAATAAAAATTTGTCCTCGTCAAGGCTTGTCAAGTATTTAAAATAGAGTTTAAGCTTTGATTAGGCAGAATAATCTACAAGCAATTTTTATTCCTTTCTCTGTTCACAGTTTGAACTTATGTGCCGTATACGTAATGGAATTGTTAGCTCCTGCGAAATCCGTTTTTTTTAAATATTCAAAAGCTATACAATTTGTTCAGCTGCAGCCCAGTTCGTTGAAAAGTTCTTTAGGAGGTGACAAGCCAATCATTACATAAACTTTCTGTTACACAATGGAGCTGAAAAAAAACCAAAATCTAGAAATCATTCGATTGTCTAAAAGAGTTAGACCTTCCAGGTGAAAGTAGTAATCAAGTGCTTTATCTAATTAAATGGATGAATTCTTCTGAACTTTTTGTTTTCACTACTTTTTAGTTAAATGTTTAATGGTAATTTAACAACGTGATTCTTCTGCTTTAATCCACTCAAAAACAATCTTGATAATGAAGTATGCTTCTAAATGGCCTTTTGACGGATCTGGATTGGATCCGTTTGTCTCTGGACTTGATTTTGATAGAGGCAGCAGAAGTTGCAAAGAACTTAAAATTTGATGAGTTCACGTTTGCTGCGAAGAAAACGCAAAAAAAGAAGGTTTTCCCTGATGAACCATGAAGAAGAATTAAAAAAACTTTGAATGTAATCTCTTAAATATTGCTCTCGACAATCTGACTAGTCTAACCAAGATTTAAAGTAATTGAAGAGGAATGTAAGAAGTTTTCCTTCCTTTAGTCTTCACAGAAGTCTCAAACAGACAAAGAACTAGGTTTAAATGCTAAGAATCTGGCTAAACTTCTCCCAGATGACTTATATACAGGGTTTTGCAAAGTTATAAGTGCACGTTTGCAAAGTTATAAGTGCACGCTTGCAAAGTTATAAGTGCACGCTTGCAAAGTTGTAAGTGCAAATATATATTTTTGGAAATTATTTTTTTTAGTTTTGAAAAATGAAAAATATTGCGCAAAATATTAAAATAAATTACATCATAGCAATCGAAAAGTAATTGTTTTTTTTAAAAAAAAAAAAAAAGCGATTAATTAGTGAAAATTCTTTACTTAATTTAGCATATTGTTATATATCAATAACCTTTCTAGATTAGATACTTACTTTCCTTAAGTTTTTAAAAATAGTATAGATTATTTAATCATAAAATTTTTTAATCATACATTATTTTAAAAAAATAAACAAATCATTTCAAATATTTTATTATTTTTCTCTTCTTTTTGCCTTTTCGAACGATCTTCTCATATTTATATAAAAGACATTACACTGTTGACTGCAATTATTATCAGGTTATAAAATATATTCTTGAGTTTTTTCAATGTCATATTGGGTTATCATTTCTTTTGGATTTATAATTGGATTTTAACATTGAAAAGAACTCCTCGATTGGGTTCGATTCAAGGGAGTATGGTACTAAAAACTTGTAATATTTATAATAGTATATTTTTTTCTCTTAGCAATTGAAATACTGCAGCTGCTTTATGAAATTTTGCATTATCTATTATATTATTTGGATTTACTTCAAAGAATAGTAATAGTTTGTTGTTGATGAAATCAATAAATGATTGTGTATTGTATGCGCCGCTTTTTTATTGGAAACATTCAACTCCTAAATTGGAAATTAGGCACATAAGGCTAACATTCTCTCCTTTCTTTGCAGATATTGTCAAGTATGCATATTTATCTTTTGGAGAATAGCCTTATGAGCGCATTTTATTGAGTCCAGTTTCGTCTAAAGGAAACTGGATTCAATAAAGTTTCAATCTTTCTTGAGGAATGATTGTTAATCTTTTTTGTGTCCAATTTAATTTCTTTAATTTACGGGAAATAAACGAGATCGAAACGTTTTTATCGTGTTGTTCTAAAATTTGCGTTTGAATTTCTTTTTAAATTACGGGATTGTTTCAGGCCACGGAATTAAATTTTATCTGTTCGATGTTTGTATTTATAGAATTTTTAATTTTATTTTTTTTCTTTTTACTGTAGATGACGTGAAGGGTATATTATCATCACTATTTTTTATAACGCGACAAACAACATTTCAAGTTAAATTACAAGCGCTGGATATTTCCTTGATTAAACATTTTTCACAATCATATTTTTAGTTTCTTCGGTAATTGTTTTTCGTGCATTTCTTTCCATTAATATTTAAAATATAAGGATCAAAATTAATTTTATAAGTGCACTTTTAACTTTGCAAACGTGCACTTATAACTTTGCAAACATGCATTTATAACTTTGCAAACGTGCACTTATAACTTTACAAAACCCTGTAAAAACGGATTTTCAGTTGAAGATCGGCTTTCTTTTTTCCTTGAGAAAAAATATTCTAGCCAGCAAAAAACCTGTTGAACTTTTAAACGAAGTTTATGCAAAGGGGTTGCATTAAAAATTTCCACAATTGTGTGTTTCACTTAGAATCTTTCTAACATTACCTGTTTCAACACCTGAAGGTAAAAGATCTTTCAGCAAGTTAGCTATCATCAAAGATTATCTTCGTTCCACAATGAACCAGGAGTGATTGTGCTACTTAATGATTGTTTCAATTAAATCAGACTTCTTTTTGTAATACTTTTTGTAAATGCAATGCATTTTAGTGAAGCTAGACCGAGTAGTGACGCTTGAGATGCATATTAAGTTAAAAAAAGTGTAGCAAAGTGAGATAAAAGAACAAAAGGACAGATGTCCAGTGGAAAACAAAGACCCTCTAAGTAGAAAAATACAAGAAAAATGTAGTAAATATAAACAGGAATAATAAACAATAGTCGAGTAAAGTACAAGTCATTCATTGCTGTTACGGAAATGCTGTTATTGTCGAGTGTATGTGACGTATTGATAGTGACTGTGATGGAGCAGAATTATTTGTTTTATAAGTAGTTACCAAGTGGTCTGTATTAATAGTACGATAAATATACCTTATATATTATATTCCTTATATGTGTTTCATGGACGTCTCGAGAATGGTATCAATTTGTGCCTTATGGTACCGTATAAACACAACAGCTTTCATCCGAGACTGGTATCCCATAAGAAGTTCCACTCTGGGTTTACACCAGAGTATCTTTTTGTACAAGTATCCCTATGTTTTATCCCAAAAGAGCTATTCTCAGAGTATCCCCTCAGGACAACCGCTGCAGACCTCTTCATTGACACTGAGACCAGTAGACACTTAGTGGGGTTCAGTACAACTTGCATATATATATATGCAAGTTGTACTGTTCAGTACATCTAGCATATATAACTTACAATTGTAAGTAATTTTTTGACATGAGTGACAGTAAGTGCAGTGGTTTGTTGCAGTATAACGAGTGTCAGTTGGAGTTGTAAACTGTTTTAAGTTCTTATAACTGTGCATGTGTAGAGTAAATAGTTAATTTAGCGTACGTGAGGTGCTTACTGTAGTAGCATGTCTTATTAGTATGAGTAATTAGCAAGAAATTAGTTGAAAGTCATTTAAACTGGTATAACGTAAACTAGATGTGAGGTTCTAGTAGTCATACATCATAATTATTTAAAAAAATTTCATTACAGCTAAATCAACTTGAATACTAAAATAGAATGACAACATTATAGAAACAGTAACTTGTATATATATTTTACAACTTATAATCTAAAATCATATGGAATATTGTAACCTAACAGGTAAATGTATGCGGTAAAAAGTGTGTTTTGTAATTTCTATAAATAGTAACTGTGCATATGTCAGGTGACTGTAATGTTACGAGATGTATCTGAAGTAGAGTAGAATTATTTGTTTTATAAAAAAGTTAGCAGGTAGTCTCTAATTAATTAAATTAACTGTATGTGTAGTGTGGGCTATTTTGTTTTAAATTATATTCTTAGTGACTTGTGTCTTTGTCAATACTAAAAACTCATACTAAAGATAAAAAACTCATACTAAAGATAAAAAAGCAACAACTCAAAAATATTGAGATATAATTAGTAGTTAGAAACTGGTTATTAAAATTAATTAATGCAATATCTAATAATAATGTGAAATTTGTGTTTAAAAAACAACAACACTTTATTAGCAATTTCCTAATGTTTTAACGTTATGAAAACAATACATTAACAATAACATCTATTTATATTTAGTAATTAAGTAGTATTACTTATCTTTTATAAAGGGCGCAAGTTTGGGCGTATGTTACAGAGCTGGAGTAGAATTATTTGTTTTTTAAGTAGTTTTTCGATGGTAAGTATAAAAAAAGGGGGACTAGAGTTATTTGCATAGAATAATAAAAGTTAAAAACATCCATGGTGACAGTGGAAGTCAGTAATTGCAATGGTCATGGTTGGCTAAGCTGTTAGTGTTTGGTCTGACTGAGGAATAGAAATAATAATAGTTGGAGTAGAATGATTTGTTTTATAATTAACTTGTAATTGGCTTGCGTTATATGATAAATAAGCATAGTAAGAAGATGCAATGAATGTTGAAAGAATATTAAATGTACTTTAGTGTTGTAAACTGGGCAGTAGTTATGTATACTGTTCAAAAGGTGTCTGGGCAAAACAATTAGTAAAATATGGACAAGAATAGAAATTTTTGTAACACATCTTTATATATCTACATTTCCACCTCTCTCTCTCTCCCTCTCTCTCTCTCTCTCTCTCTCTCTCTCTCTCTCTCTCTATATATATATATATATATATATATATATATATATATATATATATATATATATATATATATATATATATATATATATATATATATATATATATATATATATATATATATATAGTCGACTCTCGATATCTCGAACACTAAGGGGACCGGAAAAAAAGTTCGAGATATTTGTTGAAAATAAATAAAATTGCCCGACTTTCATTAAAACAAGTTATTTTTCTGACAAAAATCGTTAACAACAAAACTAAAACTTTTAGAAAAAATCTGTTATCTGATATTGCTTTAAATTATTCATCTTTTCCTTCATTTTCATTAAATCCTTAAGTTTTAGTGCTAGGGATTGTATTTCATTTCCGTATTTTGAGCTGTATAGCGAAGCATTTTGAATCGTTTCAAAAGCAATTTCTAATTGAATATGAGATGGGCGTGGCGGGGCTTCGACGTCAATAACTTCGTAAACGCTATCTTCAACTTCATTATCGTCGTTTTCAAAATTAGGGTCTAAAATCTGAGCAATGATTTCAGCATCAGTAGCAAGTGAACCAGTGGTTACTACATCGCAATCTAAACCAATTTAAGATTCCGCTGAGAGATCTTCTTGGACGGCACGAGGATCTAACTCTCGCAAACGGTTAAGTTCTTCTGTCAAAAATTTAAAAGGATGATCATCATCAGCTTCTTCAATACTCTTGTTTGTTTTGCTGATACCACCTTTTTAAAGTAGTTGATGACAGTCTCCTTCGACACAGCATTCCACGAAGAAACAAGATCTTTCATTGCTCGATATATAGAAATTTATGGCATGGGTTCGTTAATATCGACAGCCTTGATACACAAACGCATAATTTTGTGACAATAATGAGCTTTAAGACTTCGTATTACGCCTTGATCCATGAGCTGAAGGACAGATGTGGTGTTTGGGGGGGGGGGGATGAATATTAGATTGATGTTGCTTAGCCTTTCAATGTGTGGATGGGCAGAACAGTTATCCACCAGGAGTGCTACTTTCCTGTCTTGAGCACGAAAAATCGAGTCAAGTTTCATTACCCATTCTGTAAAAAGGTCTCCGGTCATCCAACTTTTTAGCTGATTTTTATATGTGCAAGCAAGTTGTTTAATGTGCTTAAAACACCGTGGGTTTTTAGATTTTCCAATAACAAACATAGGTAATTTTTCTCCCGTTGCACTCCCTGCTGCTATGCCTGTTAGTCTGACTTTACTATTTTTTCCCCCAAAACATTTTTCTCGTGATAAATGGTATGTTTTGTTTGGTAGGCACTGGTAAAATAGTCCAAACTCATCGGCATTGAAAATGTTTTCAAGTTTGTAATTCATAAGCAATGTTGGAAGTGTAGTTTCATTCCACGAAGCAGTCATATTATTCGTCACGGCGGCACTTTCGCCTGAGATTATTTTAAAGCTGATGCCGTTTCTAAAAATAGGAACAGAATAATTGAATTTTAATTACACGTTTAAAAAACTAAAGAAACTAAATATAAACAGATATATGTTATTTGTTTATATTAAAATTGAACAAGATTTGACAAAATTTAACTGACCTTTCTTTCCAATTATGAAACCAACAATCAGATGCTTTAAAATCCAACTCTCCTAATGCTTCTGCGAATTTTAGTGCCTTTTCTTTTAGTATGGTACCATCAATTGGTACTTTTTGACTTCTTTTTGCAACGAACCACGTGTATATGGTCTTGTCTACATTTTTGAAATTACCACTACGAAGTTTCGTCCGTTTAGATTTTGTGCCATTTTTTTCCAGTGAGGTTAATAACTTGGTTTTATCTTTAATCTAGGTTGATAATGTGTTCTTTGGGACTCCATACTTTTTGGCAACCTTCTTTGTTAGACATCCCTGTCTCTAGGTCTTTTAATTGTCCTGTGGACCGAAAATATTGTTCGAGATACCAAAAAGTTCGAGATATTAAGGTTCGAGATATCGAGAGGATTTTAGCCTAAACTAGTACGTTATGTCCATGGGACCGCTAAAAAAGTTCGAGACACTCTAAAGTTCGAGATATCAAGTATTCGAGATATCGAGAGTCGACTGTATATATATATATATATATATATATATATATATATATATATATATATATATATATATATATATATATATATATATATATATATATATACATATATATATATATATATATATATATATATATATACATATATATATATATATATATATATATATATATATATATATATATATATATATATATATTAATGACCAAATTCAGATAAAGTATCACCCCTAAAGGCATAAATCAACAAATATAAATTCTAGAAATAATAGTGTAAATCCTAGATTGATAAGCATAAGTACATTAAATGGTAGTTGTGATCAGAGAGTTACAGACACAACAATCTGAGAAAAAAGACCAGTATAAGCAGGCCTGCCCAGAGCTCTTGTGATGCCTGGGCCCAAAGTGTTTAATGGATGCCCTATTATACCTCAGGTCTTAAAATGACAAATACCAAATAAATTAGTATAGTTATTTTTTATTTACTTTCATAGAAAACCTGAAATCACATTAAATTGATTTTGGTTTTTAAAAGCAAACTATGATAAAATTAAGTTTCAATATCGAACACATCTTCTGGGCCTTCTTAGTGGCAAAAATAACTTCTTCATAAGAAACGTTATTGGCTAAATCTGATTCAATCGAAAGGATCATCAAGTACCAATATCGCTCCTGGTCCATTGTGGAACGAAGATAACCTTTAATGATAGCTATGAAAGACTCTAAGTGAAACATAAACTTCTGGAAATATTGAATTCAACCCTTTTGCATTAAGTTCATTAAAAAGTTCAATAGGCTTTTAGCTCGCTAGAATATTTCTTCTAACGGAGTAAAAAAAAAGCTAAACTTCATCAGAAAATTCGTTTTTATGTAAGTCTTCTCGGTAAAGTTTTGCCAGATTTTCAGTTTTTAAACCTAATTCTTTGTCTGCTTGAGATTTCTGTGAAGATAAAAGGCAGGAAAACTCGTTACCATTCCTCTTTCATTACTTAAAATTTTGATCTCATTTAACTAGCCAGATTGTCGAGTGCAACATTGAAGACATTACACTCAAAGTTTATTGATGCTTCTTCGTGGTTGTAACTAGCCGTTTTATCAGGGAAAACCTTCTTTTTTTGGGTTCTCTTCACAGAAAATATAATTTTATTAAATTTCAAGTCTTTTGCAACTTCCGTTGCCTATATCAGATATAATAAGGTCCCAAGACAAACGGATTCAATCCAGATCTGTCAATTGGTCATTTAGAATCTTTACTTCATCATCAAGAGTGAGTAGAGTGAATAGACTGACCTTATTACCTATCATCAAACATTTATACCAAGAAGTAGTTAAAAATAAAAAATTCAAAAAAATTCATACACTTAATTACTACTTTCGCTTGGAAGGTCTAACTCTTTTTGACGATGTAATTTCAAGATTTTTCTGGGCTTTTTTGCAAGTGGCTTGACTGCTTCAATCCTTGAGCTCCATTGTGTAACAGAAAGTTTACGTAATGATTGGTCTGTCTCCTTCTGAAGAATTTTCCAACAAACTGTGTTGTTGGAAAATTCTTCAGAAGGAAGAATTTTCCAACAACACAGTTTGTTGGAAAATTTAACAAACTTGGACATTAAGAATGCATTATAAAATTAATTCATAACAAAATCCATCGCTTTGTTTCATCTCCAATTTTGTTTTATGTCCAAAAGAATATTTACATGCCGTTAAATAAGAAAATAAATTTTACTTTATTATGCAAACATAAGGCCAATAAAAAACAAGTGCATTCAAATGGAAAATGAAAACCTTGTAAAGAATAATTATCCTACTTTAAATGTAAACAAAGTTTAAAAGGAGAACGAAATTAATACACTAAATTTGCTTAAGCTTTATATATGTTATCAACTAAATTTTTGTATTAATAAAATAATTTTTTTAAGGCATATGTGATGCCCCATAGACTGTGATGCCCGGGGGCAAACTACTTCAATTGCCCCTCCCTCTTGGCGACCCTGATTATAAGTAAATGTAAATAAAATATTTAATTTTGAGATTTACCCTGCGCTCATTTCTTTTGTACTAATAGAGGCATTTTTTGGGCTATTTTTACACTTGAGCACGAGTTAATCTCAATATTTTTAAACTTTTTTTAATCTACGTTTTAAAAATTTCATTTTTCTGAACACCCTTTCTTAACAAATCGTTGTTAACATTATTAACAACCCCTTAATAAACTTATCAACAAACCTTTAATAAGGGGTTGTTTATAAGTTATTAACAAAAAAATACAGAAATCTCAAATGAAGTTTAAGGCTCACTTCTGAAGATTTTTAATGACTATGCAGGCTAACCAGTGAAGTTAAGAAATTAAAAAATAGTACTTGCTTGTAATACAAATGGAATAAAATGTGATAGAAGTTGTAATAAAAATAATTTTTATATTACTGCTAAATAACATTTAAAACATTTTTTCACGATATAAAATAATAAAAATAATTATGTTTTCTAATAACTATATGAAAATTCACTTCTTTTGAGACCCAGGTTGACATACATTTGAATATATTTTTTTGACAATATTAAGGATTTTATGCCAAATGTAAGAGTTTGAACCCAGATATTATCTTTAGAACTTGACGTGATGACGAAAAATGAATTGCATATTTGAAATCAAAATGAGAAATGCACTACGAAAAATATATTGTTTGCTCGACACCATAAAATAATTTTTTCTGTTAAACTCTGTTATTACCCGGATATGAAATCTCAGAATAAAAAAGCAGGACCTTTACGTAAAGGTATACTGTAATGTAATTACATTATAGCAAATCCTAGATTTCTGAGTTCGGGTTTTGGAAATCCTCTTGGAAAAAAACACGTCAGTTATGTTGGAAAATAAAGATAATGAAAGTAGCCTAATAAAATGGAACAATCGGTAATAATATGAGAAAATACCATGTGGTAATGCTACAATTAAACGGCAATATAATTAGCTTCATTTTTAATACAGTTAAGCAGTTTAGTTAAAAGTGACATGGAGATTAATAGCAACAAGAATTCAGTTTTAAATGAAGTTGTTGGACAAAATAATGCTCAAGAAAATGTCTTAAAAAAGTCTTACCGTATGCTGCTTATATTTATTTTTTTATTTATATTTTGTTAATAATGTTTACAGAATATATATATATATATATATATATATATATATATATATATATATATATATATATATATATATATATATATATATATATATATATATTTATTAATATAGTATAGATATAGATATAAAGATAAGTACTGTCATGCGGGGCTACTTGAGCTACTCAGGGTTACTTAAATCCCCAAAAAATAAAATGTTTATTTGTTTATTTTTCATAGAATTATTTGGTATGAAATAAGTTAATTATACGCTTACTCAAATCAAGTAACAAAAAAAAAAAAGTTAAATTATTTTGCAAGAAGTGATCAAAAAAAAAATTTTTTTTAAAGGAAACTACAATTATGGTAAAAATTTAGTGTAAAACTTTTGTCTGTCTAGGCACAATCAAAAAATATAAAAATTATTTGACAACGTTTTTTAAAAGAAGTATCAGTTGCAACAAAATGTTGTGATTATAATTGTCTTTTATTATTTAAAAAAAAAAAAAATGTATTTATGCTTGAAGTTCAAAATTGAGGCTTCTTGAACCCAATTGTCATTGTAGCAGCTTATGTTTAAAAATGATTAAATTTGTTTTCCATTAACATTAAACCTTAAAGTGTAATAATATATTTAAAAGGAGTTGATATATCTTTTTTTTAACCATGTTTTTAATATTTGTTAGGTTATAAAATGTATATCTAAATAATATTGATGGATGGTTTAAGCTATTGTTATACATCTTTTTGTGTATACTTTGTGCTATCATAACTGGTTCTACCAGAATGGTTCGCAGATATAAAAGAAAGTTGGGATCTAGAGCTCACAAAGACTATACCAATCAAAACTTAGAGCAAGCCTGAATTAATATTGCACGTGGAGCTATGAATCAACAATTTGCTGAAGAGACTTTTCCGAAGACGGCGTCTTACTATCACAAAGAAACATGCAGGGCATCCAGCTGTCTTCACGCCTGAAGAATAGACATTTTATGATCACTTGAAAAAACTTTTAACTTTTGGCTACTTACTGACCTCATTTAATCTTCGAATTATTGTAAAAATCCTATCTAGATCAATTAGGGAGTGATGTTCAATGTTTTAATGAAAATCTCTGAGGTGTTGAATGGGTAAAAGCCTTTATTAGAAGACATCAGCTATCCAAGAGATTTGCTGGAAATCTCAAACAGGTCTGGGCTGCAATAATACAACAGTCACAGAATACTTTGAATATCTAGATAATGAAACAGAAAATGTACCAGCAAAAAACATTTGGAATTTTGGCAAAACTAATTTCACAGATGACCCTGGGGAAAAAAAATTTATCCTGAAAAAAGGAGTAAAATGCCCTGCAATGATTATCAATAGTTCCAAATCAGCAATTACCTTTATGTACTTATGAAAAAAATTTGGGTGGCGGTACTCCTCATTTTGGCGGACTTTGGCACAAAATTGGCACTTTTTTTGCAATATTTGCTGTAAAGATCCTCAAATTTTAATTTAGGTGGCGCCCAAATACGGTCGAAGCTGCCGAAAACAATCTAGTATAGCCCCTGACTGTGGTAATGCAGCTGGAAAATTGCTGGCTTCTTATGTGGTCTACAAGACTGAGTCACTTAAGACCGCATGGACAGAAACTGGCCCACCTGGCACAAGGTATAATTGCTCCAAAATTGGGTGGTTCGAGAATAACTCATTTGACTCATTTAGGTTTGTTAGTTTGCTACTACCAAGGCTAAAAAGGCAATCTTGGTAATATTTTAAAACTTTGTGGAGACAATGAACATTTGCTTTATTGGGTTACCATCAAATTCAACACATCTTACCCAACCAATGGATGTGGCCTTTTGTTGTGGAGAAAAATATTATCAGAATGGAAAGCGGGTCCTGGAAAATGTGCAACCATGTTTAATAAAGACACTTTCTCTTCTCTATTAAGTTGCCTTACTAGTTTATTAGTTAAAAAAAGAACCTCGATTTTGAAAAAGATTTGATCCATTCAAATAATCAATAAAAATGATAAAGAAAAAAAAATAAAAAAAGAAAAAGAGAAGTAAAAATTATCTATTAAAAAAAAAAAAGAAGAATTTAATTAAAGGGTCAAATCATTATATTTTAACAGATTTTGAGAAAACTTTGTGGGGTACCATTTCAGATTTTGCTGATTTTTACATATCATTATCTACATTATGCAGATGGGTTAAATTTGAAATTTGAGACTTCCAAGTAAAACGGTTCAGAAAATATAGCTTTATAAACACTGCACAGTGGCCCCTTGAATTGAGAATTGTAAAAACAGACTACTTTAAAGCCTCATAACTTTTTACTATCTTTCATTATTTATATTTAATAAATATAAATAATGATTAATAAAGGAAAAAGTTGAAACTTGTTAGAAACCACTTAAATTATTAGGTTTGGTTTTTACTTTTTAATTGATAATTAGTTGCTAATTCAAAACAATTCATACAGTATAATATATCTAATCTTTTTTTTAATTAGATAGGAGTGAAACCCTCTTGTGTTTTGAAGCTCAGACTCATGTAATGTGGCAATAATGTCACTAACTGAATACCAATGAGTATCTGGTGTTTTTAGATATTTGAAATAATTGCCAGCTTTATGTAAGCAGCTGACAGATATATAGTGGCCTTTAACAACTATTATCTTTCCAGGAAAAAATTCACCAAAATAATGTACTAATACCCAATCAGCAATATTAATGTCAACATTTTTTGACTTTTGAGTGTTAATGCAAGTATCATCCAGCATGTGAAAAATGTCAAATGTTGTGCTCATTGATGTTACATAAGCTTTAAAACAACAGGATAAAGATGAGAAACCATGATATGCAAGGGTTCCTTTAATAGCAGGAACATTCTCAAATCATTTAGCAAGAACTATAGAGAAATCTAAAAATAAATTTTAACATAAATCTTATAATCCAAGTACATAATTTTTAAAATGCATTTAGTAAGTTCTCATTTTAAAGTATAATTTTCTCTAAAATTTTCCTTATAAAATTTTTTTATTTTTATTTTTATTATCTTTGCTTCCAACATGGCTGCAAGCAACCACTAATAAGTGTTGGAAGTTACTGGAAGAGAAAAGATGAAGATTGTAGAGCATGATAACGATTGACAGATGACTTAAAAGATTGCAAATTATATGAATCAGGAAAGCAAGATGAAGGAAGCGAATTCCAAAAAACTGATGTTCGAGGAAAAAAACTAGACGAATAAGAGTTTTTGGAGCACTTAGGAACAGTAACAGAAAAAGGATGAGACTTAATTGAATGACGAGTAACAGGAGAATGACTTTTTGTAGATGGCACAAGAGACGCTAGCTCCTTCGAGCTGTGCCCATTTTAGTATTTGTAGAAAAGAGAAAGAGAAGCAACATTGCGACGATGTGACAGAGGTTGAAGGTTGGCTGCAAGAGCAGGTCCAACTATGTTTACAATGCGTTTTTGCACCTTGTCTAAAAGAGAAAGGGCATCATTAGAAGATCCGCCCCAGATATGGCAACAGTATTCCATACAAGGCCGGATTTGAGATTTATAGAGATAGAGAATAGAATCCAGAGTAAGAAAGTGACGAGCTCGATAAAGAGAAGCAACTTTAGCAGATGCTAATTTTGCAACGGATTTGATATAAGGTTTTCAAGAAAGATCAGAAGTAAGAGTTAATCCTAGAAGATGAAGGGTAGGAGACTTATCGAGTACATTACTGTTCATAAATATAGGAAGGTCTAAATTATTGCCATAAGGATTGGCCGAAAAAAATTGAGTTTTATCTGAATTAAAGTTCACCAGCCACTGTGAGCCCCATGCTGTAGCAGAAGTGAGATCCTTTTCAAGCTCAGATGCCCCCTGCAAGCAATCAGAGGGAGTTGGCTTTTTTTCAGGTATGTTGTCTGGGCCGTAAGCTGTAGAAGAGTCTAAGCGGGAAATTACTTTAGATACAGAAGCTGGAGTGATACGAATGTCGAGCAATGGATCAACCTGTTTGACGGCTATATCAGGTAGAACGCAAGTAGTGGCATCAAGAGATGATATTGATGAAAAGTTCTTGGCAAACAATTCAGCTTTTTCTTTAGGTGAAGTGACAAAGTCTGAACCATACAAAAGAGGTGGAATTACAGACTTGCCCTTATTATTGATACTATTAAAGATTCTCCAGAAGTCACGAGAGCCTAATTTTTGTGATGAAATACAAGATTTCATGATCTGAGAATAGCGGGTTTTGGCGTTAGACAAAATCGTTTTACAATGGTTCCTAGCAGTAATAAAGAGACGTCTGTTTTCTGGAGATTTGTTTTGCTGATAGATATGGAAGAAATGGTTTCGATTGGCAATTGCAGCAGCACAATGTGAGGAAAACCATGGAGAAGAGTGAGGCTTGACCTGGAATCGTCGAGAGGGAATAAAGGATTCCATGCCAGCCTGAATCCACGAAGTTATGTAAAAAGCTTATTTGTCAACAGGGAGGCGAAAGATTTCTACCCAGGGGCCATCACGAAAAAAATCACAGAAAGAGTCCCAGTCAGCTTCGAGGTAGTTGTAAGATGTACGATGATAGGGGGATTCTGATGGTAAAGAAGAATGAGATAATAGTTTTAGAGAGACCAAACCATGATCAGAAGCACCTAAGGGTGAGTGTGAAGAAACTGAGCACTGACTAGGATTAGAAACAAGACATAAGTTGAGTAGAGAAGGTAAATGATTCGGGTTGTCTGGAAAACGACTTGGAAAGTTGACTATTTGAGTTAGGGATTGAGAAAGACAAAAGTTGTGGGCCTTAATGCCTGCAGCGTCACTGACACTAGAGCCAAGCCATTCAGTGTGATGAACATTAAAGTCACTGACAACAACAATATTGGCTGATGGATAAAGAATGAGGGCTTGGTCAATATAATCAGAAATAACATCAAGAAGAGTGCAGTCTTGAGATGAGGGAGAGCGATATAGAACAAAGAGAAA